ATCTTTTTTTCCTAGATTTTCCACCTTTAAAATTGGGTGCGTCTTATATGCTGGAGCATCTTATATGGTGAAAAATACGGTACAAATCGCAGAATTCTTTAGCATTGAGCCATAGCGGTTAAAGGGTATCAAACTGCGGTGTAGTGCAGCTTCAGTCTCCACATAAAGATGCACAAGAAGAGGAGAGGAAAAAGGACCCACTACGATAGTATATACTTGCATAGATGCACCATAGGTATTCTGCAGTTTTGTATAGAAAAATGTTTGTGCAATATTTGAGATTTATATAATGTATTCTTTATTTGTTGGGAAGGACAAGAACTTTGTTACTGTTCCTTCCATTGAATTCTAAGACACCTGAATGTGTTATTTCTCTAACAATCCTCAGTGACATCTCCTATTTGCATGTTACACAGGGAGAAAAATATGACGGGAGAAAAGCAGATGTCTGGAGCTGTGGAGTTATTTTATTTGCGTTGTTAGTGGTGAGTCATCATCTATATTACACATTTTTTAAAAAGTTTACTCTGTTTTTTACACTTAGATCTTGACGTCACCTACATATTTGAAGAGTTTATTTCTCCTCTTTCTTTTTCCTCTGTAAATCCTAAATTATATTTGTTGCATCTTTCCCACAGTGGAAACTCATGATAAATATTTTCCAGCTTCTTTGAAATACTGATCCTTGCATAAATGGAAGGATTTAGCAAGTGAAAACATTTTTCTAAACTATTTTATAATGGGGAGACTCCCAAAGGGATTAGTTTTTGTCACTGAGGCTTTTAGACAATTCACTATTTATTAATGAAATCCCATGATTCATTTTCCCCTATGTAAATTGTCAACATCAGCCAGATACTTTTTTGTAAGTAGCAATTATTGTGTCAAAAGTAATTAAAGCTTCCAAAAGGAAACTGAGATCGTCAAAAAGGATGTTTTATGGAACTTTAATCATCTTAATAGTTAATCTTAATAATTCAGTTCTTTACTACTGAGGTTTTCAGATCTGCAAAATGCTTGCCTGGTGGATTGCCTTCTTTGATATCCTCCCCCTTTCCCAATTCTGATGACACGAAGGTTTATGAACACAAGACATTGGTCTAATAGTGTATTAAGTCTGTAGTAAATGTTATGATACAACGGTATGTCTTTTATTGTTACTCAAGTATTATTTCAGTGGTGTTAAATTAGAAATGTCAAGAAGGGCCTCTGTTCCCCCTACCTCACTCATACTAGGGTCTCTGAATGAGAACTCAGGTGCTTTGAGTCCCTGTGTTGGGAGAGAGGTGGGATATAAGAAAATAAAATAATAATAAAAAATAACTGAAATGGAACTTATAGAATATTTTTGGATTACAGTGAATTTGTGCGTCTGCAGACAGCAAGCCCCAGCTCTTAAAATGGTGATACATGCGCAGGAGCACACACACATTGGAAACAATGGGACTAGAGGTCCCGCAATTTTCACTATCTGCAGGAGGGTCAAGAATGGATCCCCTGTGGATAGCAAGGGCCCACTGTATTAACTTGTAACTTTAAAAATGCGAATCTCAAAACTGTTCCTGGAGAGTTCAGTATTCTTCTCTCTATTAACCTTTTTATCTGTCAAAGGGAAATATGCAGTGTTATTGTTGTGTGCCTTCAAGTCATTTCTGACTTCTGATGATCCTAAGGTGAACCTATCACAGGATTTTCTGGGAGTGAACGTGTGTGACTCGCCAAAGGTCACCCAGTGGGTTCCCATGGCCAAACGGGGAATTAAACCCTGATCTCCTGAATTGTAGTCCAACACTCAAACCACTACACCATGCTAGTTCTCAAGATATATACATAAAAGCATGTAAATGTGTCATGCTAGGTACCAAAACAATAAGTTTCATGCCTAGAAGCATTATTGTGCTGTATTAATCATCTAAGTATAATCCTGGACACTTAAGCTACCCGAACTTTAGGTTTTCAGCAACTTCCCATGCCCTAGTTATATTTCTGGATTGTGTCAGTGGTAACATTTGAATGTTGCTGCTATAGTTTTCACATCAAGGGTATTGATGCCAGAGATGTTACTGAACAATTGTAACTGTTCAGATTTTGCTGACAGATTGAAGTTATGTAATTTAATTTAGAGGTATAGATATATAATTAAAACTGTTTACAAAAATAGTGTATGTCTTTTCACTTCCTCATTATTTAAAAATGCAAATCAAACACACACACACACACACACCAGGACATTGAAGGCAAGTATTTAAAAAAGACCAGTTATTTGAAATTGCATAGGTTTTTGAGTATGCCGTTACTTTATCTAGTGGGTTTTCATCTTGATTTTAGGTTAATTGAGCAATGTACATTCATCGCAGATTCTGCCTAACTTCAAACTGTATAAGTTAGCAAAATACATCCAGCTTTTGGGTTGAAATAAAAAGTTGGAGTCTCTGAACTGAATATTCTGAGAAAAGCACTATAATACTATTATTATTATTATTATTATTATTATTATTATTATTATTATTATTATTATTATTACCCATGAAACCAAGTTACATACTGGTCAGTTAAAATTCCTTCTGGCCATTTGACATTTTCTGAGGTGAAAAATTCTGATCCTGAACAGCAGACTATTTGTGTTTGCTATAAATATGTCTAGAGGAGATTAGAATGGCAGAGCAAATAAGCACATTGGCTACTAAGACTTTGTCCAAGAGGACTGCTGACAGACCAGAGCCTTGCAAGTACAACGAACAATTTGGTTGAAACAGAGCAGTTCTTTGTATTTATGGATACTTTTCCTGAAAACCAATCATGGTTATGTTCTTTTCCTTAATGGTGGATTAAAATCCAACAGAATTAGCTACAGAATTAGGCTTTATTTTCTGTGCTGGAATAAATAAATAATTAGGCTTTATTTTCTGTGCTGGAATAGGTTTTAAAAAAAGATATACTGATGTGAGACACTAGAATTTTTTCCTATATCTCAGTCTTTGTCTATACCCCAACCTGCTTAATATTTCCCATTTTCTCTCCACTGTCTTTTTCATGGGATTTGCTCAATGTCTACTCACTTCATTCCCTGTTTCTCTTACTTTTGCCTCTTTTCTCTTGGCCATGTTGCTCCAGGGTGCCCTGCCATTCGATGACGATAACTTGCGGCAGCTGCTAGAGAAAGTGAAACGTGGTGTGTTCCATATGCCACATTTCATTCCCCCAGACTGTCAGAATCTCCTACGGGGGATGATTGAAGTGGATGCCTCGAAACGACTGACGGTAAGATGACGTCCATTGCAGATCTCAGGGCTTCTGCATTCCAGAACACTCATTGTCTTCCTCTAAATTGGCATGCCATAGTTTGATTCCCTTCAGAATTTTTGGACCATAGCATCCTGCAACTAACCAGCTGGGGCTAACCTGGGAAGGTGAAAGTTGCAAGCCAAAACATCTGAAGAGACCCCAGTTGGTGGAAGCTAGTCCAAACAATGTATTTTTAGATAATACCAATTAACTAAATTTTAATAAGGAAGTAGAGTGTTACCATCCTCAGTTGCACTTCTATTTTTTTAAAAGAAATTTTGATTTTAATTGGTTGATTAAAGGTTCTGGTTATTATGTGAAGATAAACTTAGATCTATGTATTGAGTTCCAGATGAAATCTTAGAAACTAGTGAAAGCTTAGGTATAATTTCCAGCAGGCAGAAGTTTCAGAGGAGCTTGGAATCATTAGTTTTAAAAAGCAGTGTGTCACTTTTAGGCATTTCTTTTCATAAGCTAGACCATACTTGAAAGTAAGAAGTAACATAAATACAACAAAGTTTAAAAAAAACCAGCCGCTTCCCCCAAAATGTTTCTATTATGAGAAAATATGCCAAAAAAAATTCTAACATTTGCCTTGTTTTTGTTAATTTCTTTAAAAGTAAAAATATTGGTCCTCACAATCCGTCCTCCCAAAAAGCAGTCTCATTATGTTTAACACGTTACTTCCAAGCTCTTGGTTTCAGGTCTTTGCATTTCTCTCCCCACCTCCACCACTCAAACACCTGCAAGAACATCAATATATGCCAAACAAGCAAATAATCTCAACCCAACAGTGAAATTTGTCTTTATTCTGGTCCAGCTGATTGACAGTCATTGTGCATGACAAGGCCTTCACATCACAGATTAAGCCTATCACATCAGAGATTAATTTGCATTAGCAAAATGTAGAGTGGGTCCATGGTATTCATGGGGGTTTGGTTCCAGAATGCCATGTGGATACCAAAATCTGTGGATGCTCAAGTCCCATAAATGTAATGGCATAATGGAATAGTGTCCCTTATGTAAAATAGCAAAATCAAGGTTTGCTTTTTGGAATTTTTTTTTGGAATATTTTCAAGATGTGGTTGGTTGAATCCATAGATTAAGAATCTGTGAATATAGAGAGCTAACAGTATTAAAATGGACCCTTGGTATCTGCTGAGGTTTTGTTCCAGGACCCCCTGTGGATACCAAAATCTGTGGGTGCAGATGGATAAATGGAAAACTGAAACTCAGGGTAAAAACTATAATAAAACTAACATGTCTTATGCAAATTAATGAATTGTATTTATTATTAAAAAATAAAGTGTATAAAAGTTTATGAAAACTTTAAAAACATTTTCACTAGATTAAGGGAGGCTTCTCCAACTTGGTGCCTTCCAGGTGCTTTGGACTAGACTTTTTATTAGCTCAGCAAACAAGCCCAATTCAGAGGAATCATGGAAGTTCAAATCTAAAACATCTGAAAGGTACCAGGATCCCCCC